TCAAGCATGTCAAACTCTCGGCCCACAATGAATTTTTTTGCGGCCCAGTCAATATAACAGTATGTAAGAAACATTTTAATAAAAATTTTGTAACTTAATTTTTACAATATCCTGCTATAATTAATAACGAACTACGATGTTTGCTAATGACTGATCACTATAATTTTGTTGCATTCATTTCCCCTTATGCACTTAATGCGCAGGCTCATCATTTCTCCCACTAATACTAGCAGCGAATATTTTAGCAGCCGATTGCTACATCATTAGTCTTGGACTGACTTGTTTGGTGTGCGCAACAGGAAATATTTCGCTTTTGGAGAACAAGAAAAATAGTTATTTGTGTTACGCTTATTAATTTGTGCAGTTATTCAGTGTCCGGTAAGTTAATGTTCTAGAAAAAAATATTAATTTTTATTAAAATGTTCTATTATTTTATGTTAACGATTACTCATTTATTTCAGCCCTTTGTATTCAGCATGTCTCTATCGAAATAAACCTACATTTCTATGAAAATTGAAGCTTTTGTTTTTTTGTGGCCCACATAAACTTAAAACCTTATTTGGCCCATGTTAGCCCTTGAGTTTGACATGCTTCATGTACACAGTCATATGACATGCATGAGAGGCATAAAAAAAAAGACAATGGTGCTGCTTTTTGTTTCATGTCTTAAAAGCTGAAACTAGACTAAGAGACACAGTAATATAATTTGCTTAACAGAGTTGCCATTTTCATATTCCATGACAGAGGTAATGATGTTTTTTTCAAATTTAAGCATTCATAGACATAAAGCTGTGCATCAAATATATTTAATTATCTCTAGAGCAAAAAACAAGAAAAACTACAATGTTTCTTCTTACATATTAAGGGCTTTCCACTTTTACTTTCCTTGGTATGTGACAGTGTTACAAACAACATCATAACTGGATGTTTCATAGACATGGAGGAGATTACCCACACTCAAGGTTCATTTCCTAAATTTGACTGAAGGGCCATAGTGAAATAATTGGGCTTAGTACATATATATACAAATTTAGGCCGATGAAAAGGAAGAAGGCACACAAAGAATGAAAAGATAACAGAAGCCCTAGCCAGTATGGCTCAGTGGATAGAGTGCTGGCTTGCGGACTGAAGAGTCCCAGGGTGCGTGGGGTAGGGCAATGGATGTTTCTCTGTCTCTCCCGGTCCCTTTCACTCTCTAAAAATCAAAGGAAAAATATCCTCGGATGAGGATTAACAACAACAAAAGAAAATAGAAAAATTTTCAACGTTCTGAAACATCTAGAGCAGCGGTTCTCAACCTGTGGGTCTCGACCCCTTTGGGTGTCCAACGACCCTTTCACAGGGCTCGCCTAAGACCATGGAAAACGCATATATAATTACATATTGCTTTTGTGATTAATCACTATGCTTTAATTATGTTCAATTTGTAACAATGAAAATACATCCTGCATATCAGATATTTACATTACGATTCATAACAGTAGCAAAGTTACAGTTATGAAGTAGCAACGAAAATAATTTTATGGTTGGGGGGTCACCACAACATGAGGAACTGTATTAAAGGGTCGTGGCATTAGGAAGGTTGAGAACCACTGATCTAGAGCAATGCATATGAAAATGTTTTGTAAACTCCAAGTTTCGATAAGAAAGGGAACACTTCACATAAACACATTATTAGAATCTCTATTAGTGGAACTGCCATACAGGCCTATTGTCCGCTATCCAGCACTTGCAGTAATCACAGAATTTCTTTGGTTGTGACTTCCAGTAGTCGGCCCTGAAAAAGGGAAAAATAAGTCTAAGCTTATTTATAAGTTAAACAGGTAAAACTCTGCATGCTTTACATCTTAGAATTTGAAATATACGCCTCTGCTACTGCATCTTGCCTTGCTATATACAACAGCGTTGTTTTATTTTTTGTCTGAAAGTGTTGCCACTCACGTAGAAAAGTCTGCACGGGATTTAAAACTCCCTTAGACAAAACAGCTTAAAAAAAAAAAAAGTCGTCCCCCCATTTGTTAATGTCATCAGTGTGGAGAAATGAGTAACACCTTAGAAGACTTGTCTTTCCTCCCCCTGCCTGGCATTTTGAGAGGCTGCTAATGGAGGTCTGAAGACGCTCACAAAGCTTGCTTTAGGTCAAGTTACTTGCACCAAAAGAACAAACAGAGCCAAGGCTCCTCCGGTGGAGGCTGCGGCTCCTCCGAGACCATCCGCTAATGCAATTTGTTCTTGAGCCGCCGGGCGAGAGAGAGTTGGGAAACCCAAGGGACCTCTCGGCCGGCAAGACAAGGGAAAACAATCACTGCTCTAACCGGGCCGGCCGCTCCGGTAGGCGGAGGACTCGGGGGGCCACAGCCCGACCCCAGGGTCACCACACCCCGCGCGGCTCAAGCACCCGAGACCCGAGGCTGCGGCGCCCCCCGCCGCCAGGGGGCTGGAGCACGCCGCCCACCTCCCGCCCGAGAGCCCGTCCTCCGTGCCCCGGGGCGCTCCCTGGCAGGGTTTCCACCCGGCCCCGAGAACCGGTCCGGCCGGTCCCCTGCGAGCGGAGAGCGCGTCCATCCCGCCTCTAACCGAGGGGCGGGGGCGGGGGGACGGGGCCGTGGCGGAGGGGAGCCGGGCGGGGAAAGGGCCGCCCAGGGGAACAACACGTCCTTGTTTGGAGCCCGAGACCCAACTCACATGACTGGACCAGCCGCTCCGCACGTCGCCCGCGGGTCCGGCCCAAGCTCGCGTTCCCCTCCCGGGGCGAGCGGCAGCCCAGCCGGCACGAGGCCCACCCGAACCTCCGAGGCGCGACACCTCCCGTCCGGACCAGGGTTCCACGGTTCCCAACTACGGGTGCCCGGAGGACGCAATCCGCGTTCCGAATCGCCTCCTCGTCCCCTCCCCCCAGGGCGGGCCTCCGGCTCCTGAGAGGTGGGGTGGGTATAAAGGGGGTGAGGTCACCGAGAAGGGCGAGGCGCGACGGGACCTACGCTGAAGGGCGCTAGCCCGGAGCCTCCAGTCTCCGCGTCATCCCCCCGTTCTCTTCCCCGGGGACCCAGAACCTCCACCCTCTCCTAGGCTCGCTGGCTCGTGGCCGGGGAGCTCGCGCGCCGCCTCCGCCCCGAACGCAAACAGCTGTTCCCCGAGACGTCGCCGCCCTCAACTTTGCCAACTACTCCGCACGCACTTTGGCCAGCGGAGCAACCCGGACCTGTAGGCTGGGGGCCGCTGGCGGAGTTAAAAAAAAAAAAAAAAAAGGGAAAGGTGAAACCGCTGGTGTCGGGGCCGCGAGTTGCGGGGTTTGCCTCAGAACTTTCCTGAGGCGGAGGTGTGGCCGCGCCCCCCTCCGCGACGGCCGCGCGCCGGGGACCGGGCTGGTTCCCTCGCTCGGGAGCTCTTTGTGACCTTTTTTTTTTTTTTTTTT